GGCGAATCACCATCACAATTAACATTATTTTTTAATATAGGAGAAGGTAAATCTTTTTTCATATCAACCCAGGCATTTTCTAAAACTCGTCTATTTAATTGAGATGTTACATCTTGTTTCAAACCTAATTAGAAAATAATATATTTCATATAATATATCTTTAATATTATAATATCAGATAACTTACTTTCTTCTTGCATCTTTACTATCTGATGTAATTGTTCAATATTCATTGGCTGTGTCCTATATGAATTGTGACTACTGTCTGAACAAGTACTGAGTCTATCATCTAAATCAGGTGCACTATGAGCACTCTGTGTACTTTCAATACTTTCTGTAGATCCTCCACCACCCAAAATTTGAAGTTCTTCTACACCTGTATTCAATTCCAAAAGTCGTTGTTCCGAACCGCTTTTTATTTTTCCAAAAGAATAAAATTTATTTACTACACTTTTTTCAATATCTCTTACAATATTTGGTTGTGAACCTTTCATATAACCAAAATTAGATGTATTTGTACATCCTGTCATGTTAACAGTTTTCAATGAATTGGATACAAGATTAGGATTAGACTTTTGAAGAAATTGTGGCAATTTTGAAAGTGCTCGCGGAATATGTTGCTTTCGCTTCTGCAGTTTTGAAAATGGCTTTATAAATGTAGTATCCACATTGTCAGGTGATTCTGCATTTTCCATATCAGTTTTACCACCATGATTATTACCTTTCTTAGTAAATGTATAGTATTTTTTATCTGTTGAATTTTTAATACAGACACTTGTTTCATTTGCTATTTCAGCACAAGACTTTATTTTACTAATAGATGATTCCTTTTTATATGTATTATATTTATTCTCTATAGGAATATCATTTTTTGCATTCTGATTTGGAACTTCATCAATTTCCTTCTTAGGCTTTTCACTTTGGTGTTCTTTAACTACATGATTAAATGTACAATCTAGTTTATGATCTCTGCTTTTGTATATTTCTGCTAATAATTCTTTCCTCAATAATGTTGGTGCTTTGAATGTCGAATTTAATACTGTATTATGCATTTGAAATGATGCTAAATGTTTTTTATTCATTCGATACGTAGAATTTAACATAGTTGTATTTTTAGGAGTTGATTGATTACAAAGAGGAATAGGCAATTTAAACATAGAATTTAAAGCATCATCATGAATTAGTGAAAAAGAGGGATTTGTAGAAGGTATGGGAAATTCAACCATATTTTTTGGTGAATCATGAACTATGGTTTTCTCCAATGCATACATTTGATCTTTATTATATTGCATGTTATTTGTATCATTTGAAGTTATATTATTTATTGCTTTTTCAGTATTAGTTGTACAATATGTAGTATCTAAAATAAATAAATCTTCTGCTTTTTGAGAAGCAGAAGGATATGTTGTATTTAAATTGTATGATTCTTTTTCCTCATTATTTTCTGATTCTAATATTTTTATATTATCAATTTTATTTACGTATGTGGAAGACAAATTAGTTATATTAGATTTATTTTTACCTGAATTTGATACAACCATTGCAGAAGTTGTATTTGCACTATAGGTTTCATTTAATTCTTTTTCAGTCTCAAATTCATTTGTAAATGTTTTATTCGCTATGTTCAGACAATAGCTTTTATTATTGTCTGATTCTTATTTTTCAAAAAAGTTTCATTAATGTCTGAATTTCTTGAACTCTCACACTTTTTAGTTTCTTGGTTACATAAATGGACCATATTTGAAGCTTTTTCATTTTTATCACATTCTGTATTACATAATGAATCATCTCTAGGTAATGAAGTAATAGATGAATAAAAAATGGAAGGTTGTGAAACATTCATTAATGGATCACTAAGACCAGTTTCCATTAAATTAATAAATGAATCAATTCCTTTTAAATGAGACATATTTAAGAATATTTCCATGCTTTCTTGACCCGATGTTAAAGTCTCATCAGCAAAAAGATTAACATTTGTATTAGATGGCATTTTTAATATAGGAGGCACAATTTCTTCTTTGTTGGCAGTAGATATGTCTGAATATTTACTTAACTGTATGATGAAAGAAAATATATTAAAATTTTATAATATAAAATATAATATATACACTAAAATAATATATATATTAATAAATATAAAAATTATATAAAATATTTAAAAAACATAAATAAACTTACATCTTCTTCTATATTTGAAAAATTTGAAGTTCTCCATGTATTTGATACAGGTGAAGATAAAGGTTCCAAAATAGATTCAAAACTAGCTTTACAAGATCGTTTCTTGGATCTTGTAAATGTTCTTGTATCAATAGATTTTTTATTAGCTGAATTAACATATAAATAATATATATAAAACTATAAATATAATTCTATGATATAATGATTATTAATATCACATTTCTAATACCTGAAAAAGTTAACTCTGGCTCAGTCTTTAACCAAGTGTATAAATCATGAACAATGGGTTTTCCTTTATATTCTGTTGGTATATACAACCTATCAAAAAGTAATAATAATAATAAATATTTAAATTATATCATTATTTAATCAAAACTTTTAGACAAATTCAAATTAGATTCAAATTAGACAAATGCATTTTATATAGAATGTAACATATGACTCATTTAAAATCCATTAATTTTTGTCCATAAAAACTCTAATTAATGAAATATTAATTTAATTATTGGATAATTATTGAAAATAGAGTCAATATGATTTCAATGATTTTCAAATATTATAAAAATTAACATTTTTAACAATTTTTTATATAACGACTGCTTCGTCATAGTTTTAGAAATATTTGCAAAAAAATAATTGTCGCTACATTAAATTTCACGTATATATATTTCATATATATTTCATGTATGTATATGTTCGTGATAAAGTCGCGCTGTCATGAAATTCAATATAATAGCAACTTTTTTTCAAATATCTCAAAAATTAAAGCCAAATAGCGATTATATATGTAAAAAAATTATTTAAAATATTAATCTGATAATATATTTCAAGATTATTAAAATATTGCTGAAAATTCTCAATAATTAGCATATACATTTTTTTTTATCTCTTTAAATTATAATTTTATAATTCATTCTTAAATTATAAAAAAATATTGTTAAATTCTTGATTATAATAACAAATTATAGATAATATTTTACAAAAAAGCAATCAATCTTAAAATATATAATCAGAACCATTCTCAATAATTTTTTCCTATATATATAACTGCCATATAATTAATAATTATATTAAAACTGCTTACCAGCTATCAATATCATCAAAATCAAAAACAGACACATCAATAATTTCAGATTCATCAATAAAACTTGCATCATCTGTATATTGCTTTCGCACAATTTCTGTATCCACTTTTTTATCTGACATGTTTTGTTCAAATTATAAAATTAAAAGTTCTGATGAACACATATTTTACCGTTAAAGTATATTTTCCCGTTTAGACGTGGTAGATATATAAAAATAGCGTTGTGTTTTCCCAAATCATTTATAAAATTTTTGAGGTTTCGGCACCATTTATACTTTAAAAATATATATATTAAAATAAATTAAACCTCTAACAAACATAACCGCAAATACGACAATAGGAACTTTTTAAGATTTTTAAGCAAAATGAAAGTAGATGTTTAACGTTCTTTAACTTTTATAGATATCATTTTACTATGGTTTAATATCGCTTTTATAGTGTAATTGTTAGTAAGTTGGCAATCGAGGGAATGCTATTCTGATTGGTTGATTTCAACGAGTTCATATAATACATTCATAAAATTAACATGCATATTGACTGAAAATGTCATACGAGATTATGTAGTATCGTGATGACATGAAATTATCGTTGATGAAAAAGAATATTCTTTTTGTTCCCATTTTGACTGCCAATTTATTAACATTATAATATACTATGTTTAAATTTCACTTGTCTATTTGACTAATAAAAAATTAATTACTTCTAAGAAATTATATGTGATAGTTGTTATTTAAAAAATTAAATACAAATTTAATTATTGCTAAAGAATAATCATTTTTATAATCTATTTTAGATATTTAAATATTTAGTTAAGTTCTTTAGATACAAGCTATATTGAAGCTTTCATTAAATCAATTTTTTCATGAAAATGAATTGTATTTATAAGATTTTATCTTGGAAACAATTTTTATTTATTATTATTATTTATATTTGTAGATAACATGCAATTCTATAAATAAATTATGAGGAAAAAAAACTCCATATTCTATATTCCAGACTTGTAAAGCTAATTCTTATTATCTAAATTTTGATCACGTGATTTTGTTTACTTCTAAATAATTTTATAACTATTATTATACTGTAAGTTCATTGAAAATTAAATTTGAAATATTTAAATAAAATTTTATGAATCGTGTTAAATATATTCATAAGATTATTTTAAAAAATATTATTTATAATATAAATTTTTATAATTATCTATCGATAATATATTATGAAAGCAATTACTGTACTTGTATATAATATGTTTAATATTTTAAAGTTAAAACTTACAAATTATTTATTGTATGTAATACGTTTAATATTTTGAAGTTAAAAGTTATGTTATAATACTTATATTACAATAAATTCATTTAATAATTACAGTTCATGATAAACACAAATAACAGAATGTGAAAAATGGTTATGTTCACTATATGTGTATTATAGATAAATGTGAACATTTAAAATTTTTTTCTACAGCTATATAATTATTTCAAAAAATAATTTATTTCATAAAACAGAAACGTAAGTTTTATTAAATAATTAAAATTTGAATGATTTAAATTATTTTTTATAAATTTATGTAATAAAATATTTAATTATAATTATATGTTAAATATATAATATTTTATTTTTTAGTGAAAAAATTGGGAAAATATAATTGTTCAATTGAAACAATAAAATAAATATACAAAATTTTTTTTAGATTAATTTTTAATATATATGTTTATGAGACAGTATTTTAACTCTAATAAATAATTTACAGTTCATCTTCAACAAAATTAATTATTTTAATAATGAATATCGATTCAGATAATAGTGAACCAGTTAAAAAAAGAACTAAATCTAATAATATAAAAAATGATTCATTTTGTGTTTTAAAAGACAAAAATTACATAGATAAAAATTCAGAATATCAGGAAAAAGAAGAGTTAACAGATAATGAAGATAATGAAGAAAGTACATTATTATCAAATAAAAATGATGATGATGATACTTTATTTCCATTTCCTCCAGATTATGATGTTACAGATATGTTGGAAGGAATAAAATATCATGGATTATTTCCTACAATTACAGATCGATATTTTACTGCTTATTATAAATTAAATGTACAAAGTCCTGCAGATGATATTTGTATTTTAATACATAGTAATCGTATTTGTATGCTTACTCTTGCTCCAAGTCATACTATTCTTCAAGGTGATAAATATATAACAAAAGTAAATTTTAAAGTTAGTAATAAACTAGATAGAGTTTTGAATAAAGTTTCTGGTAAAAGTAAACATGGTGCTCAACCTTTACAAATGAATTCCAATATTTGTATAATTACTTGTTCAAATGAAAAAACATACATTATTAAATGTTGTATAATTGGAAAATTAGTAGAGGTAAATGAAGCATTAATAGAAAATCCTAAACTTTTATTGGAACCTCCACATAAAGGAGGCTACATAGCTATAATATTGCCAAATATAAAACTTTTAGACAAAATAAAAGAATCTTTGTTAACTCAGGAACAATATAATTTGAAAATATTAGAACAAAAAGTTACTATGAATCATTTGGAAATATCAAAAGTATGTACAACAAATACTTTATTGAATAATGATTTAAAAATTATAAATAAGGAAACTCAAACACACTGTAATAAAGACCAAATTACTTTATCTGAAGTAAGTTGATTTAATAATATAAAAACATCATATTATAATTATTTATTATATTTTTTTATTAAATTTTAAATAGGAATGAATATTATATATGTAATATCCTATGCTTTTTTTGTAAACCATTCTAGCCTATTTTATGAATAAAAATAAAAAAGAATGTTATAAACATAGGTTATTATAAAATTATAATGAAAATACTAAATGACTAGTTTTTATTTGATATAGAATAAAAAATTTTTTTAATATTTATTTGCAAAATATCTATATTTGCAAAAATATTATTCACTTACTATAGTTGTTATACATAAATACTTTGATTTGTATTGAAATTAATGATGCTAAACTGATCTATATAGTATTGAATAAAAAATTTTAATTATATAATTGATCTATTGTTATTTTGTATTTTATTATAATTTTTTAATAATTAATAATTAATAAAATATTTATTAAGCATATGTTTATTATATAATTTTTTCTTATTTAATCATAAAATATTATGAGATAAGTTTTACCGAAAAACTGGGATTATGCATAAAAAAAACATTATTTATATTTTTGTTTATTATTATAATCAATTTTTTATAACAGTAACTTTAATAGTTACTACTTACAATATAAATAGCCTCATCTTTGGTGTATTTTTAAATTTTTAAATTTAAAATAGTATTATATAAAAATTTTATTTAAATATTTTAAGAAACTGTATTATCTATTTAAAACATTATGATAAAATTATAAGTGAAAATTAAAATTGTTTTATGGCACACATGTAATTAAAACTAATTCTTTAATTTACTGGAACCAGCCAGTTATTTATCTCATGTTCTATGTTTAATATATAGAATTTACTTATGCATAATTATAATATGTATATTTAATAATTTTTTATAATAATATAATGAAACTATCGTTATTCTTGTTTAATAAGAATAGATTTTTTTTCTGATTCTTGTACAATATTGCTATCTTTTTTAGAAACTTTAATAAGATTTCCTAAAATAATTCCTGTAAAAAGGATCATTCCTATCCTGTGATTAGAGATGAATTTTTTGGCACAATCTGCAGGATTATTGATATTCAAACTATATATCTAAAAAATATAGTAAATATTATTTTATTAAAATTTTATATCTATAACATATATTAAAAGTAAGTTTTTCTTTACTTGAAATAAATAAAATAATAATAAAATTAAAATAAATAACACAACGTTATTAATATAAAAAATAAAAATAGTAATCTTAATGTAATTTAAATCTTTTAATTATAATATTTGATATTTAAAAATTATATGATAATTACGATATACCTGATTGACAAGGTGAGTACCAACTAATCCTACTGCTGTGTAATATGGCCAAGTCTGTGCAGCTAATATACCTGATGCAATTAATCCTGTTATCATAACTATACTAA